AGCAAGAAAAGTTAAAAAACAGCTTTGCTGGCTGGTGACACAGGAGGCGTGAACACATCTATGCCTCCAGCCGAGATTTGTGTATAGGACCTGAAGTGACGGTGCTGCAGCTTCATGGAGAATCTAATCATCTAATTATCTCATGCATGTCATAGGTCTACAATTCTGGGCATCCCTACTTCACATTTTTGTTAACGTTCTTAAAGATAATGTAACATAATTGCTGATAGTTTGCAGATGACGAAGAGGACAAGTCACCAGCAGGCAACTGGGATTGCTCTGTTAGTTGACTAAGCAAAATAAAATGTGTTAACATGCAAACGTTCAAACAAAACTCCTACTACTCTGTAAATACATGCTCATATCTGTGCAAAAAATGAACACAGCCTAAATGTTCAAGAAGGGGAGTTCATTCACCTTGTTTTAATTTATAATCTAAATAAAAATACGACATTTAATATCTTGAAGATTGCTTAGTAGTATGTATAGATTTGTAGTAGTTACAGAAGTATACAGGAGGATGGGTAAAATAAACCCAGAGGAAGGACTACAATTCTATTCATCAGCACGAGGCCGCTTTTATTGCCACAGTGACATCCAGGTTTTCCCTCTGTATGCTGTGGCAACTGTCCTGGTTTTATCAGTATTCCATATCATAACACCACATGACAGGCACATTGACTTCGTTCTTGTATTCAAAATCTGAATCTGTATACCTCTACCAAAAAGGACTGCAACTAGAGGCAGACACCTGAAATGAATACAGCTGAGCACTATTCCATCCTTAATCAAATCCAAAGGCCTGATGCATGTCACTTGGAATGAATATGAACAGTGGTTCTGAGAGGTAATTGAATGAATCACAAGAGGTCTCATGAGCATTTCTGTTGGTAATTAGGGCAATAGAGCTACGGGGAATGATTTCAATCATCCGCTGCCCATCGCAACATATAATTTAATAACAAAACAAGCAACCAGATAATAATTACAGCACAACACCAGGTTTGCCTGAAAGCCAACAAGCATTTCAACGTGCTAGTCAAAAATGTGCTCTTAGAGTTGTCCACACATCTGCTCCACTTTCTGATTCATAAGTGACTGGAAATGAAATAAAGGCATTAAAAGCAGGTCAAGATAGGCAAGCATTTTTACCTGTGATTATAAGTATGTGCAATAGTAGCTACTGCAAAGATTTGCTTCTATAGTAAGTCACCCTCACACTGATTAAGCATCACTCAAGATTCCTGACTAGTTTACTTTAACCACTCTGTTTTAACTTAAGTAATAAATCTTCTGTTCTTACAGAAAGCGTACAACAGAATAAAGATATGCTAACGAGACACGTCTGAGATTCAGGAACTGTACAGCTCCCATGTTTGGTATTCAGCAGGTCCGAAGGAGGTTACAATTCTGCAGGCACTTACATGATTCACCTTCAAACCCACGAGCAATCTTTTTGTACTTGGTTGGCTGCACTGAGCAGACAGTGTCAAAGCAGTAGGTGAAATGATACGTATGACAAATGTCAATGACAAAAAGTGAAAGAGTGCAAGTAGAACACATTTTAACCTAAGTTACTGAGATTTAAATGTCAGACACACAATGGCCCTCACAGAAGATATGCAGGAGACTGCACTTAACCTGAAAAAAACCTCTTCTATTAATAGATGTGTTGCTTATTTAAGTCATTTTATGCTCAATTTCCTCAATTACAGTAGGTCTCCATAAATTCATAAGTGCTCCACTTGATTCAGACGTGTCACAATGTATAAGGAACAAGTGTGATATTAAAAAGTCCTAATAATCTCAATTTAGGAAGCAGTAAGAATTTCCCAGAATATGTTACCGTAGTATTTTTTATGAATAATTCTACATTCCAGCACTATGAATTGGGCTATTACAACTGCACATCCAATTTTTGTTTGACATTGTTAGAAGAGAGTGCTGTTAATCTGCAGAGAGGACAGCAGACAGCTAAAAGCTAAATAGCGTGCAACATAACATTCAACTAGCGAGCGACAGTAAAAATCTGTCATGGATTTCAACAGACCCAATAAACTCCAAATTCTACAGTGTAATGAGAAAATTACTTTAAGAATCAAGTATGTTAATCTTTTTTGCTTGTGAAAGTTGTTAACACATGGTCCTCTCTTTCCTGGTCTGCAACTCTGAGCACTGACCAGTGAAAACGGCGGAACATCAGCCAGAAACAGTTTTTATTTCCTTCGAAAGTAAGGCTTTTATCTGCGAGGAAGAATGGAAAATCAACAGCTATGGTTTTGATCAAAGAAAATGTAATCTATCTTTCATAGAAGTTGTTGAACAGGCATTCGCAATTTAAAAGCAGTCCCCCTCCTAACCTAGATGTTTGCAGTACTTGTTTTGGTAAAACAAGAAAGCCTGCAGGAAATAACTGTGCACCTGCACTTCATGACATAATAACTTGCTTCCTTTAAATGATATTAATCTCAATTCTTTCTACTTGTCTCACAGTTGTTCACAAGGAAATATGGCAGCAGGACATCACTTTGACTAGAACAAGAGCTGTTTAACTCAAGATGTCATATTCAAACAGATTCTACCCAAAACACTTAGTCCCTTTTTGTGAGAAAGGCAGTGCTACAAGACAGTTTCCTGACCCTGGTTGCACAACAAAGAGCAGTCCTTCTACTTGAGGCAGATGCTTACCAATACGCCCACAGCTGCCTGTGTCCAGCAGATGGTATAAAACAGACGTGGAAAAGCCCAAACAACAAAAAGGAAGTGAGCAATCGAAGCTTACCCAAGAAATACCTACACACAGTCATCAGTTGCCTTAATTGATTTCCTCAGTCTCCCAGCAATCCATCCAGGTTTCTCACTGAAGTATTTGGATTTAAATGCCAGTTGCCACTGAGACTGAACACCAAAATGCAATTGATTCTGAAAATCCTTAGCAAAATGCTTACTGGTTAAGCAAATAAATAGCACTACAGAAAAAAAACACTTTTTTTTTCTTGTATTTAAACATAAAAATCGAAGTCCTTGAGAATACATCAGAAAATGCATTTTGAATCTCAAATGTTGCAGAGTCCAGGTTTGTCTTCACTGAACGCTGAACAGGTGATATCCTGACCTCGTCACATGAGAACGCAGCCTCTAACTCTGACCACCTGATTTAATTGTGCCAACATTTCCTTCACTTTCAAAATGTCACATCCATTTATCAAGCACTGCCAAGTTAACAGCCGGTGGTTTGAAAACGATGTAAAAATAAAGACATTAAAATAAGTTATTTATAAAGCAATCCTTTACTTCTTGCTTCTTAAAGCAAACCTAAGGGCTTATGTTGACAGATAAGGGCACAGACTAAAAGTAGCAGTGCTGTGCCACGGGCAACCTCCATGCCACACGATATGCAGTGTGTGTTACATGACTATTTTTCTTTTGTCACTAAAAGACACACACAAAAGATGAAAAACAATCTTTATAGAATCATAGAACGGGCTCGTGTTGGAAGGGACCTGAAGGATCATCTAGTCCCAACCCCCTGCTACAAGCAAAGTCGCCAATTGCTGGATCAAACACTAGATCAGGCTGCCCAGTGCAGCATCCAGCTTGGTCTGAACATCTCCAGGAATAGGGCGTCCACAATCTCTCTGGGCAGCCTGTGCCAGCACCTCACCACTCTCTCTTTGAAAAACTTCCCCCAAATCTCCCCTCTTTTAAACTATTCCCCTTGTCCTATCACTATCTACCCCACGTAAAGAGCTGATTTCCCTCCTGTTTATAATCTCTCCTAAAAGATTGGAGGGCTTCAATGAGATCTCCCTATAACCTTCTCTTCTTCAGACTGAATAAGCCCAGCTCCTTCAGCCTGTCTTTGCTGAAGTGCTCCAGCCCTCCTACCATCCTCATTGCCCTCCTCTGGACCATTCCAATAGCTCCACATCCTTTCTGTGCTGGGGGCCCCAGACCTGGTTGCAGTACTCCAGATGTGGCCTCACCACGGCAGAGCAGATGGGGACAATTCCCTCCCTGGCCCTACTGCCCACCCCTCTTTTGATGCAACCCAAGACACAGTTGGCCTTCTGGGCTGCAAGCACACACTGCTGGCTCATGTCTGGTTTTTCGTCCATCAGGACCCCCAAATCCTTCTCTGTAGGGCTGCCCTCAAGGAGTTCTTCTCCCAGTCTGTACTCATACCTGGGAGTGCCCTGACCTAAACGCAACGCTTTGCACTTGGGATCCTCGAACCTCATGGCATTTACCTGGGCCCACCTTCCAAGTTTGTCCAGGTCCCTCTGGATGGATCCCTTCTTCCTGCCACCATCAACTCAGCGCAGCGTCATCTGCAAACTTACTGAGGGTGCACCCGACCCCATCGTTTATGCCAATCTTAGAACATTCTCTGAATAAAACATAGGAAGTTCTGAAGAAACTCGTTTTTTATTTTTGTCAAGGTTCTCAAGACAAAAAATTAACAGACTACAGAAAGGGGGGGGGGAGTTTTAATCTCGCAGGAGCACCGGCCGGCGGGCACTGTGAGGAGAGACGCACAGCGAATGGTTACTGCGGCAAGGACCAACACCTCCGGGAGAGGTGAGCGGCTGGGATGGCGTCCTGCAGAGAGCAGCCCAGGACAGCGCTCAGCCTGCGTGGCACCCCCTGACGTTACCCGGGGAGCGCTCAAACTGCGCTCCGCGCACCCCCTCCCTGCCCCTAAAAGCCAGGCAGCAGCCCAAAGCCGCGACCCTTCAGCACCTCCTGCCCGCACTCCTCTCGCTGCGAGGCCGCCATAGGCCCCTCCGCGGCATGAGGAGGCCGCGCCGCTCTGGAAGCTCCCCGCGGCCGCTCCGCCCGCCCCAGGCCGTGCGGCTGACGCGCGGCGCCCGGCATTGTGGGAGCGGGGGGGGCGGTGGCGGCGACCCGGGGAGGGCGGGCGGCGGGGAGGGAGGAAAGAGGCCGCGGCTGACGGGTTCCGGTGTCGGGCGCGGACGTGTCGGCCGGGGCCGCGGAGCCGGAGGCGCTGCCCCTGCCCCTGCCCCGTCGGAACATCGCCCGGCTCGGCGCCGCCATGTCCGGCACCAGCAGCCCCGAAGCCGTGAAGAAACTGCTGGAAAACATGCAGGGAGACCTGCGGGGCCTGAGCCTGGAGTGCAGGAAAAAATTTCCTCCCGTCAAGGAGGTGAGGAGCGGCCGGGCCGCAGCGCCGCTTCGGAGGGACGTCACGGTGCGGGGTCCGGAGGGAGCCGGGTGAGGCGGCGGGGCGAGCGGACCAGGGGAGGCGGCGTTCCCCGCGCCACGGAGCGGCGCTGCGGCCGTGGGTCGGCCGGGACGGCTCGGGTCCCGCGGCCGCTGTCAGCGCCGAGCCCGCAGAGCTCCCCGGCGGTGTTAAGGCTGCTGAAGTTTGGCTCCGGCTCGGTGCCGGCGCGGTGCGGAGAGAGGCGGCCCCGCTCCGGCACGGCCCCGCCGGGGAGCCGCGGTTCTGCGTCCCGCCGCGAGCTGCTGTGCCTTGTGCCGGCTGGTGCTGCGGCTGAGCCTCAGCAAGCCTGACAGACAGAAGTTGATTTCTTCTCCCTCCTCAAAAATCCCGTTCATAAACGTGTGTTAGTAGCACCGTCTCTGTATTTCTTCAAATCCTACTTTGCTCTAAACGCTACCCGTGAGTTCAGTAATCTTAACTGCAGAATGATAGAATATCCCGTGCCGGAAGGAGCCCAAGGGGACCGTCGGCTCCAACTGCTGGCCCCACACAGTGCTACCCAAAATTCAAACGCCGTGTCTGAGAGCAGTGTCCAAACGCTCTTCGACCTCTGGCATCCCAGGGCCGTGCCTGCTGCCCTGGGAGCGTGGCATTACTTCAAGTTAGAGACAACATTTCTGATTTTCCTGCAGATAAAGGACACAACTGTGTTTCTCTGGTGTGTGTTACGTAGTTTAGTTTAACTTCTTCCTCACTGCTACTTGTTGTTTTGAATGTTTCTTCTACGCAACAGGGAAAAAGTACTGATATATTAACTTGGATTAAGCTGTAGAACCAGACAAGTACCTGGGAAATATGAAGAAGACTGTCAGTTTAGAAGAAAGTAATTATGCGTGTACTATGGCATTAGTTCCAATTAAGCGATAGCATATTTAGTGTCATATAAAGCATTGTGTGCTTGAGCAGGTGAACTGAAGTGACTGTGCTTGAAAGGCATGAAGGCACCTGCAGCAGTGTGTTACCTGTCATTGCAGGTTGTGGAGGAGTGCTGGTGTATTTTGAGAAATGGTGTAAGTCGTGTAAGAACAAGAAGTGGCTGCAGTCAGTAGAAGGGAAGTAAATCTCTGTGTTTTTGGGGGAGGTCTCCTGTGGTACTGTGTGACTCCAGGTGGGCTGTTTGGCACCTGAACAAGCTTTCAGCTGTGTTGGTGTTCAGTCTCTTCAAGATTCATGAAGGGGATGGGCAGTGCAATTATTAAGTCCGTGTTTTTAATGATGCTGCATTACATTTGCCATGCTGAAGGTTTGAATAACCTCTGTGTGTGCAGTGCTTGCTTCATGCTGAGCGTGTTTGCCATACTCCCATGCGAGTGTGACTTCTGTGTTCCCTTTTACATTTCCACTGTGATTTGCATAGCTCACCTTGTTACTGAAGCACTTCGGATGAAGTTGTTCATAGTTGTCGAGAGTTTGGATAGTTGTGCTTCTGGAACAGCAGTGAAAGGTGTTTCTGGAGAGGACTCCAGCTGTGGGCTTTGGCCTCAGAGAGTTCTGGGGTGAGCAGCAACAGGGGCTGAGCAGGACATGTGACACAGCTGCAGGAAATGATCTTATTTCCTTGCTGCTGGAAGCTTTTTTACTCCTCCTGATTCTGAAGGAAGCAAGTATTCCTCTTTACTCTGAAATAGCAGCTGCTAGACAGGTATTATAATTGCATGCATTTGTTCTAATTGTGATTGGATTTGACTGGAGCCATCAGAGGAGTGGCATGTTCTTCTGAGTGTCTGGGATTAGCACCAACTTTTTGAACTATTGTAGAATTTGTGAAATATATTTTTGCTACTTCATAATCTCACCTTATTTTTCTCTCTTACAACACTGTCCTCATCACCATCACGTGCAGTATAACTTACGAGCTCACTTTGCAGCTTCTTTGCAACTTCCTAAAACTTCTGTGTAACTTTGTGAAGTTACTGTACTGTGAGGGGCCTACTGAGAAGTTCCTCAGCCAGAATAAGTTGTGAGCTCTGCTGTAGTTGTTAGATTTAATCACTGCTTTATGGAGTGAATTTTGTCAGTTTTTGAGGGAATCTAAAGCTTTCTTCACAGCTGTTTGCTATTGTCAGCCCTTTCTAAAATCACGTATGTCTACTTTATTTGATTTTGTTTTGATATTAATACTGTTAAGATCCTGCAAAATGCATTTAGCTGATAGTTTTGCTGCTGATGCAAGTAGCAGTATAGTTCTAAATTATGCTTGTTGCTCAAAAGATTTACTTCGACAAGTCATTTTTAATCAGTACTGCCCTTAGAAAGTGCTGCAATCAGACACATGTTGTCTCTGTAATTAAAAAGGGGTTTAATTTTCACTTTGTAATGGTGCTTCTAATGCTTATGTTCTTAAGAACTAATTCCATACTTGTTTGCTAGGTACAGTGAGACCAAAACTATATTAAATAGTACTTTGAGCAGACGGTGGGTAGGGTAGGTGACACAAAGGAGGAGCTTCATCTGATTTGGGGGATACGAGCAGGAGCAGGGCAGCTGGCTGTCTGCAGTCTGTGGGGTTCGTGATGATTACATGGCAATCTTTCTCTTCCCCAGATAATCACTTTGTTTATAGCTAAGAAACAATAAAATATATTTTTGGCCTCTGAGCAATCCACACCTCATCTGTGTGTGATAAAAAACTCATGAGTAGAACCATTTGTTTTCCTCAGTGATGTCATTCACTGCGTTGTAAAATGGGAGCTCCTGAAGCAATCCCTGGGTTTGAAATTGTGCTGCTGGCAGTATCTGGGGATTTAGTAAGGGCCAATCTTACTTCTTAGAAGTGCAGAAAATACCAATTACTACTTAATTTCCAAAAGACCCACATCTGTTTGTTACTGGGTGTTCTCATTGTTTTGTGTTGGATAGGTGTATAAATCCTTCGTGGTGCTTCTCAGACTGGCCCTGACTGCAGATGTATACTCAGCATGAGTGTTACCAAAGTGTGATTATAGTGGCTGTGTCTATCATGTGCCAAATTAATATTTCACGTATACAAGTAATGACACAGCTGAAAAATTGCATTCCTATTTTCACAATGTATTTCCATTTCCCAGTTACGGAAGAAGACATCAGCCTGAGATGTGATAGAAGCTCTCAGGGCACTTGTGAATTAAACAGTATCCTTGGAGTTTGAAATTACAGAGGATGAAGCAGTCTGGAGTATCAGCATCAGTCGTGCCTGTGTTATCTTAAGTAATCTGACTTATCTGCCAGGCAACAGCAGTGCTTGGCTATTATTCCCGTGTTTGTAAAAAGCCAGGCTCTAAACTTCGTTCTCTGTTAGAACATTATAACACTTAATTTCTGACTGGGTGAATTGTGTGGGACGCACAGGCCTTTATTTTACTGTAACCTGTGAGTGACTGGGGCTCAGTGTGCAGTGCAGGTGTGTGGGAGGCGGGCAGCACTCCCTTTGGCCAAGCTTGTGCTGTCAGCCCTAAGGATTTAGAGGAAGTGCTTCCTCTTGATTGTTAACAGCAAACCCTTAATTGGATCTTTTTAACTGGAGTAAGAGTTCTGTATTATTGCAAAATTGAAAATACTTTTGTGTGCCAAAAAGGTTACCTTCTGTTCTAATTGCTGGATGATAACGCTGCAGTAAGTGACGTCTGAGCTGGGTAGATGGCTTCACTGGGCAAGAAGTGTTAGAAATATGATGGAAAATATTTGTATATAGCAGAAGTAATGCAACTGAAGGGGAGAACACAAGCATACCCACAAAGTTCTACTCAGTCTGAAGCCCAGATTTGTTTCAGTGGTGTGTAACTCTGTGTTGTTCACACAGATGCAACCAAGCCATCTCGGCTTCGTGAGCAGGCCTGTAGTCACAGAGGGTTGGTTTGTGGCCAAAGTGGGTTGGTTTGTTTCTAATAGCTGCAGAAGTGAACTGAGCTTGAAAAAACACAGCAAAAAATATTTCTGATCCAGCTCAGCACGGTTGGAGACACTTGTGGTAGGAAACGGGAAGGGGTGGCACTGAATGCTGGGCAGGGTGGGCTTGGCAGGGCTCAGGGCTGCTGCGTGCAGGAGCTGCCTCCTGCTGAGCGCTCCTGTGGTGATGCACGTGGTGGTGGCTGTGTGTTTTAGGGTGTTTGCTGCTGGGGTGATTTGGAAGTGTAGGTCTGGGGAAGGAATAATGTTCAGCTACGTCAGCATTACATGGCTGTTCAGAGGAGCTGAAGTTGTGTTGTTTTTTGTTGTTTTTTTTCTTAGCTCTGAGTTCTTTGGTGCACTAAAGTGCTCTCTGGGGACTTCTGAAGGGTAGCTTTTGATATCCTGTCTGTACTGGTTCTCTCCCAAACCTGTGTTTGAATCGGAGCAGGATTTCCTTTGTTTAACTATTTATTGAACTGTGTATGCCTTTGGCATACTGAAATATTTTTGAAACAGTATTGTCAATTGATCGTCTGTATCTAGGAAAAATAACAGAATCCAATTTTGATTCTTGTTTTCCTTCTCTCATAAGTAACTACTTGCAGACAAGCAGCCTTATTAAATTCTTTGAGGAGAAATTAAATCATCTATGTTTGTGCAGCTTCTGGATAAAACAAACATTTGTTAGGGTTGCTTAATTGCAGTAGAAGTGATGTGGGCTAGCTGGGCAAAGAGATGGGCTTTTCGCTTTCTGAGAGGCTGTCTGTGTTCTGTGAACACGGGTTTTGTTGACGTGGCTCGTCCCTGGAGTGCAGTCCTGCCTGCACAGGGAGCCACGTACAGCTCTATGCTCTGGGTTGAATCACTCTGGTTTTAGGGGGAGTGCTGGTACTGAACGTATCAAAGGGCTGATATCAAAGCGTTAGTTCAGTCAGTGCCTTCTGGGTAACTGTATGAAAGCACGTGTGAGGACATGCTGCGAAATGTAAATACATGCTAAAAAGATGCAAAACAGTTAATCAGCTTTTAACATTGAAGAGATCTTCAGGACTCCT